ACACAGGGCAGCTCTTCTAAAATAAAGTTCAAGTATTATTTTATCTTAATGTGTCAAAAACCAAAAATGGTTTGTTTCCCATCTAAACTGGTTTGACTGGAGCTGTAGTCGTGCTCGGGGAACGCAAACAATCACTGACACGTGGGACATGAAACTCCAAAGGCCCCCAACTGGGAGGCGCCAGGGCCCAAAGGGTTATCACGTGCTCCACACCCTTAATCTTGATGAAAATATGAGTGAAGATATGAGAGAACATTGACCATTTTCCTGCCAAATAGTGAACCAAATCTGTTCCATCAAGACTTGTTAGATTAAACATCTCAGACTAAGTCCTCTTAGAGTTTTACATTTACCTTTTATTTTTAACTTTTACTCAGAAAGTTGTTCCAGGAATACTCAAATATCCATTAGTGTTTCAGGACTCTTAGAAAAAGTAAATCTTAGGTTTGAGTTCACTGACTCGGTCAGTGACTCGGTGCAATCAGCTGTTTCCTTAGGTAGAAAACACGGTGCACATGTCGGTTCAGCCGGCATGTTCACTTTCTACAGTGCCTTAAGACGACCCTCGTTGTGAATTGGCGCCATATAAAATAACTAAACGTAACGTGTTTTAAATGTTTACCGTCTCCATCCACTTCCGTAGGACTACGTTTATTATTCCCCTCATTCTGGCATCATGTGACGCTTTGACTGGTTTTCTGATCACGGTACCATCATGTTTGACGTTTAGTCGTGCTCACCTGATAGCCCTAACCCCCCAGAAGCAAACCAAGATGCACCACGTAGGCTGATTTCTTCTCCAGTTTTAAGTCGAGCAGTCCCAAACGCTGCTCAGAACGATCCAACACTAAACACAAAACGTCTTAAGAGTTCATTTCAAACATGTTCCACAGAGACGATTGTTGATCATGGTTGTTCCTGCAGCAGATCCTAAAGCCATCTCTGGATGTTTTTTTCTTCCTTTTTTGTTGTTCTGCAGCTTTTTTGGGCACTTCAGTCACCGCTCTGAGTGGCAGCTCATCAAGATAGACTACAAGTCCATCTTCAGCAGGAAGTGCACGGAGGAGGACTACCAAACATGGCACTTGCACAACCAGGTGAGCCTGACGCTCCATGGAAGAGGCGCCGCCGCCGTGTGATGAAACGCTGTCCGCTAACAGCCGTGTGGTTTCTGGGCCGACAGGGCGAGCCGTGTGTGATGGGTCAAAAGCAGATTTTCATGAAACGCAGGCCAGGAAACTACTGCATGCTGGGAAAGGACTACTCCAGAATCCTCTCAGCTGAGTCCTGCATTTGCCGAGCTCATGACTTTGAGTGGTAAGACGAAGCCGTTGTTCTTCAAAACGGTCCAGGAGGGTTATGGTCCTCTCCACCGCGGCTAAAGCAGAGCCTCATTAACAGAAACACAAACACACGAAGGACACCCTTTATTAGTCCTGACAGAAAGGATCTCAGGTGTACAGACATTAGAGTAAAACAGCAGCTGCCAGGTATGATTGAGGCTCTGCAGGTCGTTTAATGCACGCTACGTCCAATAGAACTAACCTGACCCAATAAAATCAGCTTGATTTGGTACCAATTTGTTCATTTCAGTGCATCCATCCATCCATCCCCCATTAAAGCCCACTCAGACGGGCTCTTTAGGCTGATCCCGTCTGTCGGAGGCCCAGATAACTAGCTGGGTTCGCAGCAAACAGACAAATAAATTGCTCAGATTGGAGAACATGGTTGAGTTGACCTGCAGTCACAGTCTCAGTTTCTGTCTGAATGATTTTCTAACGACCTCGTTTATGAGAAACCCGCTCAGTAGATTCGGGTTTCCTTCTTCCAGAACTCCACCTCAACCTAACGATGCTCACAGTCATTATAAAAGGAGAGTAAATGAAGCATGTTGTTGGTTTTTTCATTGGTGAACAAACAAAGACCCGCCCACACAGAAGGAGGGCTCCACTCCGACTGGGTTTTGAAACCAGTTTGGATCTATCCAGGTGAAACCAGTTGCACCTGCTCTCCTTTTATTCTTCTAATCATCTGATCGACTCCATGAACTTTTACAAGGTTTGCTTGTGAATCCCGCCTCTGTAACATCTGTTAGCATCTTTACTGTGGTTGTGATGTCGCTCTGATCATGCGGGAGTGTAAATAGTTCCAATTTATATGCAAATTCTGAGTGGTTGTAGTCTTTTTTATCTTGTAATGACAGAACTGGAAGAAAACATAAATGTCCAACAAGGAGCTGCTCTGTGGACGGCACTCGTAGCAGGGCGGCGTTGATTCTAGTCTCCTGTAGCTCTGAGATGGTTTCTTTCTCCTCCATCATGTTTGGTTTCTCTCTGCAGATTCACTGCAAGTGTAAAACTCTAAAAGAATGCCCGAAAAAGCACGAGACAACAAAAGAACTGGTGTGGAGGTCTGAAGCCAGCTTCTCACGGGGCTCGCGTGACTGGAGACAAAATTTAATGAAAAAAAAAACTAATTTTTGTTTTGAATCTGGTCAGGTCATGATGTATTTGTACTTTATTTCAGTTGCAGGCGAGTTAGTAACCCTAACCCTAACTCTCCATTTGTTCATACTTTTATATAATTTCATTCCTAATCTGGTCTCCAACTCCACTCAAAGCTTCTCTGTCATTCGTTGCACTTTCTGACTGATCTGGGACGGGCTCCTGGCACCCACAACGATTCAGAATCCAGATTAAACTTCAGCCCTCAACAACATTTCCAGATGTTCTGGAAAGACCTTCACAAATGTCATTTTTTCAGCTCGTCACCTACATGTGTAGCCCAGCGACAAACCGGGCTAAAGCGCCTCCATTAGACCCGGGCAGTGCGACACCTGCAGTGGACAGCAAGGGTCCCGTTTGGGGATCAAGCAGGGGAGGGGGGGGGGGGGGGGGGGGTGCCATGGGGTTCCGACTTCTTTCAGAGAGAAACGGTGATGTCAAACTCTTAAAACAACTACATTTGGATTTTTGCTTTGCTTTTGTAAGCTAGCAGAGACAAAAAAGAGACCCAAAGATGTCTGCTGCTACTGGTTAGCCCACCTCGAGGGATGCTAGTGGCACCTTGTAGCATCGGTGTCGCTACAGCACTATTGATTTGATGCAGTTTTCTCTGCAAACTCTTCCAGTCAAGATGGAGCGCTAGCATTCTCCCAAGAAGGGGCGGAGCAATGCACTGAGGTCAGGTACCAGGATGTGCTGCACCACTTTGTTCAGACTTCATCACAAAGAAAACCATTGCTTGAATGCAGCGGCCTTGACAGCTTTTTAATGACTAATTCACGGAGTCGGACCGACGAGTCAGCTGCTGGCTTGTTAGTTTGGTTTATTTTCTTGTGGCTCAGTAATTACCTGATAAATCAACGTCACGACCGTTATGAGACGGGACGCTCGCCTGCCTTGCTTGGCTGCATATGAATCATGTGCTGATTGGAAAACGCTGGCAGCCGTCTGACACACACATTCTTATTTACACCAGCAGACCTTTGCCCTCAGGTTGTGTGTCCGGCTTCACACACGTGTGTGTGTGTGTGTGTGTGTGTGTGTGTGTGTGTGTGCAGAAGCCTTAATCGATATGTAATAATGATGCATCTCTGTGGCAGACTGGCCTCCGGTCACCTGACTCAAAGAGGAGATAAGATGTTCGCTGTGGGTCCCTTTAGCCATGCTGATATTGATCAGGTGCCGTGTGGACGCTTTTTGTTGTTCGACAGCGATTACGGCTACGAGAGGCGCAGCGATGGAAACTGCCGAGCGTCCTTCTGGTTCAACCCCTCCACCGTGTCCAGAAGCTGCAGCCAGGGTCAGAACTACTTCAACAGCACAGGGTAAGCATCCATGTTCAGATCTCGCTGCATCCTTGCCTCTTTCTTTTATTTATGGTTTTTATGTGGAACAAGTGGAGAATTTCAGAGCAGATTCTGCTGGATTAGCCTTGAATTAGTTAGTTTGCTTCTATTTACTTAGAATAAACATCACATGTTACGGTTTGGTTTAAATGAAGATGGACTCTCCATCCTTGCGGCTCAGCTCTAGATGAAGCCCCAACCTGTTGGCTCATCTCTTACGCCGTCCTGCCATCATAAAAAAACGGCATTGTTCACGAGGCGAAGACTCACTCCCAGCCCAGAGGGGACAATCCACCTTTGTCTGGTCCAGCAACGTCTCATTCCACGCTGATGCTCGAGGCCTGAAGATGCCAAGTAGAACCACATCAGTAGCAAAACCCAACTCTCCAGACACCTTCAGGTGTCTCCACACCTAATTGTTAGTCACCATTATTAGTCCTGTCTTCTGCACCCTCCACCCTCACAGCAGCTGACTTCATGGCTTCTTCCACCACATCCATAAATGTCCTTGTTGGTCTTCCTGAGCCTCTGGCTTGGGGCTCAACCTCATTATCCTTGATCTTGTAAAGTAAATGTTTTAAAAAAGACACGTTTTGGTTTTGGCTGCTTTCATTTACTTTCTACGAGAACCCGTTTGCTTCGGTTCCGTGAGAAGCGAGTCCTGTGTGAACGTTTTGGAGACGCCCCGGGGGACGGACACCTTGCAAAGCTTAATCACAGCAACAGCGTTTTATTCACTGCAGCTCTGATTAAACTTCCTGGGGTGTCGCAGCCTCTGACACAGCTTGTCTTGTCAGTTGTCATCTTCTCCCAGAGGCTGTTAACACGCTGCAGCTTCACTCTGCTGAAGTCAACTCTTACTGTAAACCAGCGGCTCCGCAGCATCAAGAGGATTGGTTTACCACCCTTCGCACAACTGCTTCCATCTGATTAAAAACAGATTATTTTCTCTATACTTGTGTCTGTGTCGTCACAAAGGTACCGTAAAGTGGTGTTGAACAACTGCACTAAAGGAGTTAAAGACATGTACAGCGCCAGAAAGCAGCAGTGTCCCAACAGACCTCCGAAAGGACTCGTGCTGACTAGCAAAGACGGGAAGCTCACCGCCAGCATGGGCAGTAACGTCACCTTCCTCGTGCGTCTGGATGAGGTGAGAACTCAAAAACACAAACTCAGGAATGTGTTAACTACTGCAGAAGGAAACATGTCGGATAAGAAACTTTTTTCTAACTCTTGATGAAAAACGAAGAAAATCTCTAGCCTAGAAGTCCAGACAGAGTGTAGCAGACACAAGATGATTTTGCTCTGCTCGGCGGTCTAGCACGCTCCACTGGAGCCTCAGCAGACCCTAACAGCCTTGTGTCTTTCCAATCACAGCGCTTTATCATTTTGGTCGGCAGGATGTCCCTGTGACTGACCAAAATAACAAAGATGGCGTCAGCTTGTTTGAAATGGCTTGGCATCGACTTTGGACCTGACTTTTGGTTGCGTCTAGAGCAGATAGAGATTATGTCTTTTATTTAGAAAAAATATGTATTTGTGTCTTCTTCAGCAGCGCATGGCAGACCACCCAGTTCACTGACATCCGCAGAGTTGAGTATGTCACATTGTCCGTTGTACAGTAGCATGCAGAGGCAGTTTGAATGACAACGCCATGACTGAACTCTGTCTATGTGTCATGGCCTTCCTGTATATTCACATGTGTGAGATGGCTCGCCAGAATAGGAATTTTACTTAGATGAGCTGAAAAACATTTTAGGATCTGATGGACTCCTACGATCTGGTTAATAGTGAACCCATGGTTGTTTTAAAGTCCAAGGCAAGGATGGAAGGCAGGGCAGCTGTATTTTTCGTACTCAGAAGCAATTCAATGTGCTTTCCAGGAGCAGTAACAGTTAGAACATAAAACGTTAGAATCAATGTGACAACACAAAACAGCAGATTTAGAAACCAAATGTGAAATACACAAATTAGAAGTAAGAATAAGATAAAAAGAGAAAGTCAAAGGCCGAGCAGTTACAGCGCAGAAAGTGCAGCATCATATTCAATGGCTGATGAATACATGAAAAATACCAATTCTGATGTTGAAGTTACTGGAGTTGGAGCACATTTGAGGTCATAAGGAAGCTGATTCCATCTGTGTGCAGCAAAGTAGCTAAAAACAGCTTCACCCTGTTTGGTTCTGGCCCGAGGTTCTACCAGCTGACTGCTTCCGGACCTCGGAGCCCTGCTGGGTGTTTATGCAGGAAGGAGATCCAACATGTTTATTGGCCCCATGCCATTGAGTGATTTATAAACTAGTAGAAACACTGAAATTGATGTTGTAGTTTACTGGAAACCAGTGTAGAGGTTTAGGAACAGGAGTGATGTGCTCGGTTTTCCTGGTTCTTGTTAAAACTCCAGCAGGGACATTCTGAATAAGCTGCAGTTTTGGGAGAAGACAGCTCAAAGATCAATGCAATAGTCCAGCCTGCTGGAGATGAACACATGAATGAGTTTATCTAGGCCTTGTCTGGACATGAGACCTCTGAGTCGCGCCATTTGATGAAGAGGACTAACTTTGATTTAGTTACAGCCTTAATGGGACCAGTGAACCTCGGGTCTGAATCAACTGTGACACCAAGATTTCTAACCCGGGTCTTTGCCGTCAAGTTGAGCAATAAACTCAATCCTGTCGTCACTCCCAAAGACAATAACTTCAGTCGTCTTTGCTTAACTGGAGGACATTTGACTGCATCCAGTCATTGACTTGCTCATCATTCACACTGACAGGTGGGCCTAGGGGACCACCGTCACTAGGTGATAGACCTGGGTAGATCTAGGTGTCATCTGCATAGTCAAGTTAAAGTTAAAGTCTCACTAGTTGTCACACACTGGTGTGTGTGTGTGAAATTTGTTCTCAGCATTTGACCCATCCCCTGGGGGAGCGGTGAGCTGCAGACACAGCCGTGCTCGGGGACCCCGCATGTCATGTTCATCAGCTTGGATTTATGAGCCTCAATATAAACAACATAACTCGGATCGGAACCAACCATGGACGGTGCCTGAAAATCCCATTCATGTGGATCAAACATCAAACATTTCTATTTCAGCATGACACAACACCCTCTAGTGTCCACACCATCTTTTCTCAGCTACCTACTTCATAAGGTCTGAGGCTGCAGACGAGAGAAACTGCAAACTTTTAGGTCCCTTCGAGGTGCAACCGGATGATGCAAGGCTGGTTGTACTGCACTGGGAAGGTGCCAACAGCGTTCATGGTTCACGGACAAAGTGAGGCGACTGTATGAGGTGTGAAACACACCAGACCAGCCTAAGATCCACAAGGAGGTTTAACAATGGATTCATGTTAAAAGAGATGCTTTGGCTGGAAAATAATATTCACATTTAAAAGAGAAGACAAGCTAGTGTTGGAGTTCAGCAAGCTCCAACATGGAAGTATAAAAATACACGGAAACACGTAAAATTACATTTCTAGGCTAAATTAGTTCTGAGAGTTCTGGTGAATCAGCCTGGCTCTCAGCGTCGAGTTGCTGCTCCTGCAGCTGAGATGGGCGTTAGGGGGCAAACCCATGGCTGACCCCCATACTTAGGATGGGGACCAGGGCGATGGCCCCAACCATTCATTTTCAGACCTCATTCTGCTCATTCCTTGGGAACCATTGGACTAAAAGATTCAGTTTGTCAAAACAAAAATAATTTGTAGACGTACAGACAAAAAGGTGGAGGTAGACCCTGTGACCGTAATGTGAGCCAAACTCAAAGGAAGGCTGATGGATAATAGCAAAAGATGTGAGATAATAGCAAAAGATGCCATCATCAATCATGTTGGAAGGAAGGTTACACTGAAACAGATTTTATTCTCAGCCGGCTGGGGGATTGTGAGGTTATCTTCTGTCTAAAAAACAAAACAAAAGTGGGACGTAGTTAGTGTGAGTTTGTGAAGTTGCCAAATCTGCAGCGAGCTATCACAGCAGTGCAGGTATCTGGAATTGAACACCAGCAGTTAAAACAGCTTCAAAGTTGTTTAACACTGGAACTCCAGTAACCGCCAGTTTGACGACGGCTGTCATTTTGGCCCTTAAACGCCGTTGTGGAGCAAAGCAGGTCAAGTGTGGTATTGATTAACTCTTTATGGATGTGGGAACCTAATATTATGGTAAGAAAATATAATTTAAATCCAAACCTTGAAAAGAAGTCTCTCTATTGTTCGCTGGGTGACCGACACGACTCTTTTCCATGGGTGGGGCGAGGGCTCGTTTTCCGAGTTGCTGTCAGAGTCTCTGCCGCTTCCTACTGACCAGCTTCCATCAGCTTTTCTCTCTCCGCCTGAAGCAGCTTCACTTCTCATGCTAGTTTTGCTGAGAATGTTCTTCTAAAAGCAGCTATTTCACATGGAGTTTGAACTGAGAGTGAGCGCGCAATCTGGAGAGTTGGTTGCTTAGCAACGGTGACTTTGTCCATCCTCCGCAGTAAAACTTTACCATGGAAACAATAGAGCCGTGAGAGTGACGGCTTGGGGAGACAAAGACAAAAACATCTGTATGTATTTTTGATACATTATATTATGGAAATTATAACACAAAAATAGAAGAAGCCAGAACAACATAACTAACATTATTACAAATTAAAATATGAAAATGGTCAAAATTACTGTATTGGGAGTTCTAGTGTCAAAGAACTGAAGTCAGTAAACAGGAGCAACCTAGAAGCTATTTTTAGTACCCCTAAAGCCGTGGCATCTTTTTGATTTTACTCTAACATCAGATGGCGCAGGCTAGAGGCTAACAGAGAGCTAGCAATGCAAATTGTAAATTATAAGCAAATGACTGGCTTAAAAATATCTCAAGCTACTTTTTCAGTTGCCAACAACTTGATATCTCAATTAAATGTGTGTGAAGTAAACAATGAGTTAATTTTTGTGTTTCCCTTCTATTGATGAGTTTTTTAGATCGTTAGCAGCAAGCTAACAGCAAGACGGCAAACAACCACACTTCCTGTAATGCTGTAGAAATATTACCGTAATAAGTGTAGTAAGTGCTCCCTACTGTGGAACATCCAAGAGTGTTAAAACCAGATAAAACAATTGTAATGGAGAATAGTAGAGTAATGTGGGCTACATACATTGCTTTAAAAGCTATTTATTTCTATCCTCATTACTTGTGACCCATAGCTGGGTTAACCTAACCCTAACTCTATTAATTATAGAATATCACCTTGCTTGGTCTTAGGACGATTAATTAGACGTTTCTAGGATTATTTTAGTTATTAAGGGATCGTCACACTTCGTTTATGATTCAAGAACCCGTCAGTGTTTGTAAACAAATAAGAATTTATGTTACAACTAAGACTTGACAAGTGGTTTAAACTATGATCCTGTGAGTGGATGGAACTAAAAGATGGGTGTCTGAAAACTATGTGTGAATATGAGATGATGAATCAGAATCTCCGTATCTTCAGAGAGGTGCGTTCTGGATATGAAAGAATTTAGTTTGCATCTAAACTATTAAGTTGCTATTATCAGAACCACATGCAGACGCTATCTTGTTGTGTCTACCTCACCCATTTGGAGACCCTGATTGGATCCGAGATGTCCGGGAGCCGACGACCCCACTGCACCTGGTTTGTAGAGAAACCTCTAAGCGGCCAAATCAGTCCTCAGATGCCTGCGGGTCACAAGGATAGATGAATGGAACCAAGCGTCTTAAACTCAACTCTGAAGGAGTTTGAGTCAGCTTTGTTCTGCAGGAAAACGATCTTGTTGTTCAGCTTCGCAGGAGCAAAAGATTTAAGGTTTTGACAGCTTGTCTAGTCTCTGAGCTAGAGATCTGCTAAGAGATGGCCAGTCTCCAGCTTTCTCTCTCGACTGACGAGAAAGCAGAGCGGCTGGTTTATATACCCGCTGTTATCTAAGACCAAACTTACCAAGAATCTCAGAAACACGCTCAGAGTCTCTGGGTCTAGGGACAAGGTTAGTTATGTGTCATGCGTTCTTATCTTACCTCACTCTGTCTGGTGTGAGCAGATGGTGATGACCTCATCCAGTAAACATACTTAAATAATCCTTGAGTACAGATTCCTGAACATTTCATTGCTTAATCATACATGGCAATATGTAATGGTTTTTAATCATAAAATCTTCTTTCTTCA